GTTTGTATGACTCAAAATCATTCTTACTTTATTAATTCAATATCAACCACATAAACCACTTTTTATGAGTTTGCGTGTCACTCCCTCTTGTCTCATTATACTCAGAAGGAGTATAAAGTATAAATCAACGTTGTAATCAACTAAATAAGTGATTTTCCTTAATAAAACTCAAAGCAAAATTGTTCTAACCGAAGAGGTTGCAGTAATTTCCCAAACGCCTTTCGAAATTTGAGTCACAAGATCGTGTGCAGGTGGTCATCCATTACGTTACATCCACATTGCATTCCTCTCTCACCACTTGCGAGAAGGATAATTTTTTCTTCCTTCCTTGCACATTCCACAAACTAATTTTCTAATCATTAATCATTCGTTGTTATTATATTCCTTATGATTATGTCCCTTTTCCCCGACTTTTTCCACATCGTATGTTTTTTTATGGATTAAATTGATTGAATTATGGGACTTTTGACTAATACTACGAATATTACTAGTTTGTTGGTTTTTGTCAAAAGATCAGTTTTTAAGTTTCAAAAGTGACCAAATAGGTACTACTACCTCCGTCCCAAAAAACTTTGACATTTTAAAAAATTCGAACCTTGATTTTGATTAGTATAATATTATGAAAGTTATAAATTTTATACTTTTATGAAACTACTTTTAACAAAGGACATTTTCATATAACTTTTACATTATAAATAATTTTCAATAAAAAGTTATAGTCGGTCAAAGTTTTGCAAATGGCAAAGTTTTTTGGGACGGAGGTAGTACGTATTAAATTGGAAATCAAGTAGCGCATGGTGACTATCCCTCCCAAACCAGTGGCAGCGGCCTAGGCGCCTAGTGATATACATTCAGTTACTTCGGCGCCTAGTAACTCCATTGTTCCGGTAACTCCGCCGCCTAATGATCGTTACACCACGGTCCATATGACCCAGCATCATAGTGACCATGTCACCCCTTGGTCCACGTGCCATCGCTGGCCCAATGACCTGTTGCTCCCGGTGACCTTGGTGCCCGTAGATGCCCTAGTGACCCACAACCGTAGTGACTCCAGCGCTCAAGTGAGCATTAAAATGTGTCCAATTGACTATGTCCAAAATGACCTGTCCGACACACCTATGACTTAGGTGCTGTTCTGTTCGTCTTATTCTTATTACTTATTGTTTATTCTTATTTTATTCAGATCAGATCAGATCAGATCAGAAAAATTCAGATCAGATCAGATCAGAAAAATTCAGATCAGATCAGATCAGAAAGATTCAGATCAGATCAGATCAGATCAGATCAGAAAGATTCAGATCAGATCAGACCAGATCAGAAACATTCAGATCAGATCAGAAAATTCAGATCAGATCAGATCAGAAAAGTTCAAACATGATTTATCACTTTTATTATATTAATTATTATTATTATTAATATTGTTATTACAATTATGATTGTTATTATTATATAATTATTATTAATAATATTAATAATAATATGATAAAAAAAAAGATATTAATAATAGTTATAATATTTTAATATAATAATAGTAATATAAATGTAATTATTAAGAAGACTATTATTATTATTATTATCATTATCATTATCATTATAATTATCATTATCATTATCATTATCATTATCATTATCATTATCATTATCATTATCATTATCATTATCATTATCATTATCATTATCATTATCATTATTATTATTATTACTACAATATAATAATAATAATATGATTAATGTTAATATAATATTATATTATAATTATATGTAATTATAATTATAATTACAATTTAATTCTTATAATTATAAGTATAATCAATTGTAATTATTATAATTATATCTATAAATATTTATAATTATAATTGTAATTAATTATAATTATAATAATAATAATAATTATAATTACAATCATAATTATAATTATGATTATAATTATAATTATAATATAATATTATAATAATATAATACTAATTATAATAATAATCATATTGTTATTCTATTATTGTAATAATAATATGAATATAATAATATTGTTATTATAATATTAATTGTATTTATATTACTATTATTATATTATAATATTATAATTAATGTTAATATAATTATAATTATTATTAATTATAATTATAATAATTATAATTATACTTATAATTATAATTTATGATTATAATTATTATAATTATAATTATACTTAAAATTATAATTTATGATTATAATTATTAATATTATTGCTATTATTATTACTATTGTAATTATTTTACGGAGTAATTATAATAATATTGATAACTATAGTTACAATTATAGAGATAAATATTGTAATTATAATTACAATTATAATTATATAAGTAATTATAATTAAAAATATAATTACAATTATAATTATATCTATATTTATAATTAGTGTAATAAGTATAATTTTTTTCAATTTAAATTTAATTTTAATTATTATTATTTTTTTTTTTATAGTTACAATTATAATTATAATTTTATTTAAATTATATTTGTAATTGCAATTATAATAATTATAATTATAATTATAATTATAATTATAATCATAGAAATATTCAAATCAGATCAGAAAGATTCAGATCAGATCAGAAGGATTCATATTAGATCAGAAACATTCAGATCAGACCAGATCAGAAACATTCAGATCAGATCAGAAAGATTCAGATCAGATCAGAAAGATTCAGATCAGATCAGAAAGATTCAGATCAGATTAGATCAGATCAGAAAGATTCAGATCAGATCAGATTAGAAAAATTCAGATCAGATCAGATCAGAACTTAATAAATTCAGATCAGAAACATTCAGATCAGGCAAAGAGAACAGCTTCTTACTGTCATTGCAACCCAAACTCTCCCAACCCCCTGCTCAACTCACCTCCCTTAACACATACTCCCTCCGTCTCACTAATAATGGGATAAGAGGGAGTAACACGCAAATCTATAAAAAATGATTTGCGTGGTTCATATTGAATTAATAAAGTAAGAATAAAGTAAGAATGATTTAGAACCACATAAACTTTACCAAATAAGATATGAGACAATCTTAGTGAGACGAACCGAAATGATAAAATGGGACAATCTTAGCGGGACAGAGGTAATATTTCGTAATTTTTACTTTATTCATGCATAATTCTCCCCCAGTCCCATAAAATTCTTTTCTTGGGATGTCTCATTGTCTCATTTTATCTCAGTTCCTTTTTTGAAAATTTTTGTGTGGTTGACATTCATTTTACATTTTTCTTTCTCAATCAGAATCATTCATTTCGACTTTATTCTGACTTTATTAACCTCGTGTTCAAGTCAAAAGGAAGAATTTTATGGGAGAGAAGAAGTATGGTCTCGACTGAATTACCTAAACATGAGCAAACCATGGCCAAAATCACAAATAGGAGTAGAAGTTTAAAAATTTCCAAAATAGCACTTTTTCATGTTTGGACAAGAATGTCCTTGCATGTATCAAACCCACCCACTGCATGTCTACCCCCACCAACCACAATTGTCCTTGCAGCCATTCGCTGGTTGCCTCAACCGAACTCCCGGTGGGCCAAAAAACATTACAGGTTCTTTTTTTTCCCACCCCGTCTCACCCCGTCTCCTACCGCCATCAGACGCCGGAGCTCTACCGTCACTAGCGGACTACCTCGATTGCCTAAAAAAACTAGGGAGACAATTAAGTAATTAAATTATGAATATTAAGGGTAAAAAGATATATGTTTTCATTTAGTCTTATTTATTTAGGGTAATTACAACCATCTTCGTCTCAAATTGATTTGCGAATTTGACTTTTCTTGATCAAAGGGTTTCATTTTATTTGTTTAATTAGGATGTCAACTTTTAATTATATTTCCAATTTGGAGTTCGAGATATTTTAATGTAATTTCTGAATATGTAAATTTTAATTATTAAAAATTGAGTTAATTATTGATAGGAATGATTGACTTTTATTATTGGTTGATCAAAAAAATATTGGATCCTTTTTCCCTTCAATGATCTAGAACCAGATCATGCGGAGCACTACAAGAGGGTTCTTGGTAGAAAATCATGGATGGTGCGCCCGTTTTCCCTTCAAAACAGCGCAAATTATACCATACGACCAACACACCATGAGGATGGTGTGCCCGGTCATTAAACGACATAGTTTTGCCGTCGAATAGTTACGCTCGCTGAAAGAAATAAGGAAACGAGCTTCAACGGGTACGGTTCAAATAAAAATTACCCGAACAGGTAATGAGACGGTTTTGGAGCAAACATTTATCCAACGGAGCGGTTTTGATTTTATGTATACCCGTCCCCGATCCGCCCGGTTGTCATAGGTATAGAATATAGGGTGTAGATTTTTACTCCGTATTTGTCAATTCCCCGGCCGCTGCGTCGAACGCCCCACCCACGTAGCTTTGAAGCTTTCTTCTTTCCCCACTTGTCGGAAGGATCATGTTTTCTTCCTTCTTTGGATGTGATTAGAAATTGGAAAATATGAATGTTACGGCTAAAAAAGTGGAAATATATGAGTGTTACGGAGCATATTTTTCACAAACCTCTCCTAGAGTTTGTGTATTTTTTTTAAGGTTGAGTTTGTGTATTTGAAATCCCATATACGAGAATCAAATATGGGATTACTTCACACAAGAATAAACATGACATACTTAGTTTTTTATTATTTTCTAACTTCTCCTGTTATTCTATTTTTCATTTTCATTTGCAACACTATATTATTTTATACCATATTTGATAATATTTTATACCAAACGAGCTCTAAAACTTTCAGCCTTTTTCACAAAGGAAAGAGGGTAAAAAATACAAGATTGTGAGCCCTAAGCACAAAATGATAGATAATGAGTCATGCGTGTCCTTGAAAATACTTGGGAACACGTGTGGCGCCTGCTGACATCATGGTGATGTCATTCAAAATGAGTCACCTACTTTGAAATTTCGACTGGTTGCACATTTCAAACATATCATACTACATTAGATTCACATATTGAAATTAATTGAAATAGATTATAGACATAACTTAAGATTTTTTATTAAACGAAAAAATAATAAACAGACTGTGATACATAAGGTATGAAGAAGAGATCACTGATGTTCACCGTAAATGCTCATTTAGTGAATCCGCGATTTTCACAAAAATTACAGGTTTGTCACCAACTGTACAGTGATCACTATATAACTAGCTGTACGTACAATATACAAATCTCCTGTTATTTTCACAAAATTACAAGTTTGCCACCGACTGTCCATTGGTCACTATACCGCCAGCCGTACAAGTTTGATTAAATTTGCCTCGTCTTGTGCGCTATAAATAGTAGACATCTGTCTAATTCAGAAGAGAGCATTACTCAAGCAAGATTCCTCTGTATCATCATCATTCTTAGTGGTCAACGAATGGGTAGTAACAGTCAGCAACTTCACTTTTTCTTCCTTCCTGGAATGGCTCACGGCCACATGATTCCAACTCTGGACATGGCCAAGCTCTTCGCTTCCCGTGGCGTCACCGCCACCATAATCACCACCCCTCTCAACGAACCCGTCTTCTCCTCTGCCGTTCGTAAATACGCAGAATTGGGGTTCCAAATCCAGATCAGATTGGTCGAGTTCCCCGGCGTCCAGCTTGGATTACCGGAAAATTGCCAGCGTCTCGACCAGCTCCCCTCCCGCGACGCAGTTCCCACTTTCATGAAGGCCTGCAACCTGCTCCAACAACCCTTGGAGGCACTCCTCGAAGAGCTCCGCCCTGACTGTCTCATCGCCGATATGTTCTTCCCTTGGGCGACGGCGGCCGCCGCCAAGTTCGGTATTCCGAGGTTGGTCTTTCACGGAACGAACTGTGTTTCCCTGTGTGCCTCGCACAGTCTGATGGCTCACAAACCTTACGAAAACGTCTCATCTGATTCAGAGCCCTTCACAATTCCGAATCTCCCCCACCAAATCAAGCTCACCAAATTGCAAGTTCCGGAGCATCAACGCGGCGGCGGAGAAAACCCCATGACGGCGTTCATGAATCAAGTAAGGTATGCGGATGAAACAAGTTACGGCGTGATCTTTAACAGCTTCTATGAGCTGGAACCCGAATTTGCAGAGTACTACAGGAAGGTTCTTGGTAGAAAGTCATGGATGGTGGGCCCGTTTTCCCTTCTAAACAGGGACATGGAGGATAAATCTCTGAGAGGGAAGAAATCCTCAATCGGAGAAACAGAGTGTATGGACTGGCTGGATTCCAAGAAACCCAACTCCGTCCTCTACGTCTGTTTCGGAAGCATGGCCAACTTCGCCGCCTCGCAGCTCACAGAAATGGCGATGGGGATAGAAAATTCAGGGCAGGATTTCATTTGGGTGATAAGAAACAAGAGAGAAGAAGACAACGGAAAAGAAGAATGGATGCCGGCAGGGTTTGAGCAGAGAACGGAAGGCAGAGGGCTGATCATAAGAGGCTGGGCCCCACAAGTGCTGATTCTTGAGAACCCGGCCGTGGGCGCGTTCGTGACTCACTGCGGCTGGAACTCGACGCTGGAGGGGATCTGCGCCGGGGTGCCCATGGTGACTTGGCCGGTCTTCGCCGAGCAGTTCATCAACGAGAAGCTGGTGACGGATGTTCTGAGGATCGGAGTTGGGGTTGGGTCGAAGGAATGGAAAGCGACGGAGAGCGATGGGGTGGAGAAGGAAGCGATTACAGAGGCGATCAATAAAGTGATGGTGGGGGGAGAGTCAGAAGAGATGAGGAACAGAGCAGCAGCGTTGAAAGATAGCGCAAGGAAGGCCATCGAGAAGGGTGGTTCTTCTTACTCGGATTTGACTTATTTGCTGGATGAACTCAGAACAAACCGTACAAAACAGTGAGTGGACAATGAGTCATCTACAGTTTATTTTCAACTTCAAACAGGGTGGAGTGTGGGGACAGGGAGGTTCTAGCCTTCTAGAGGGCTCCTCTGAAAAAATGTGTAAATAAATTTCAACTTTGTTTTTATTCACTCCCTATTAAAACTTTCATTTTTCCGTTTTCGCAAAGAATTTGTGGTTCACTACGATTCTTACACATTTCTCTCTTCTCAGAACAACTCTCCACCGTGTTGAAGAGTTTTGTATACCCAGCCGTTTTGGAAGTTTTATTAGGGACGTAGGGAGTATTTTTTATTGAGTATTTATGTGTAAATAGCTTTAATATATTACCTATGTTCTAGTTCGTATACCGTGGGATCATCCCACGGTGAGCATCATTCCCCACGTCCAAAACGACGTAGTTTTAATCAATTTCAATTTTTTTTGCGTGAATAGTACAAACGTGAACAGTACACGCATGTACATTTTCTAAAATCTTGTTTTAGTAGCAGAATGATGTAATTCACGTCTAAATAAATGTAACTCACGTTATTGATGAATGTAACTCAAGTCTAGTTGAAATGTGACTTGTTCAATACATAATATTCCCTCTGTATTTTTTTGTTTGCTACACTTTTGTTACCTTAATAAGAAAGACACAAACTTTTTTAGGTTTAACAAAAATGAAAAAAAAAAATTAACAATGTTTGTGCTGAGGAAAAAGAAGCAAAATCATAAACTATTTAATTTGAAAATGGGACCGAAGTATAAAAAATATTTCCTCTGCCCTATAAAGTGTACTTTTTTTACACATAATTTAAGAAAGGACCATTGTTTATACATTGTTTGGCACTATTTGTAACTGTTTTGCACTGCTTTGTTTACTAAATAAGAAAAAGATACTTTTTAGGGGCAATCCGAAAAGGAAAGATATTTTTTTAAATAGTGATAGAGATAGTATGTCAATGTTTTAAGCTTCGATCCAATAATTTTTTTAAAACTTAGAAACTGTTCTCTTCACGTAATCTGAATGTTTCTGATATGATTTTTTTAAGTTTTGATCTAATCTGAATATTTATGATCTGATCTGAATCTTTCTGATCTGGTCAGGTCTGACTTGAATCCTTCTGATCCGATCTGAATCCTTCTGATCTGATCTGAATCTTTCTGATCTGATTTGAACATTTCTATAATTATAATTATAATTATAATTTAAATATAATTATAATCATAATGATAAAAAACATAATTATAATTAGAATAATTATTGTAAATAAAATTATAGGGAGTAATAATTATACCTATTACAACAATTATAACTATAGCTATAGTAATATTTTAATTATAATTGTTTCTATAATTTTAATTATTTCTATAATTATAATTTTAATTATAATATTTACTTCTATAATTATTATAATTATAATCACTTAGTAAAATAATAATAACAATAATAAAAAATATTAATAATAATAGTAATTAAAATGATGATAATTGTTATGATAATAATAAAAATTTAAATTATAATAATAATTGAAAATAATAATAATAATAATAATAATAATAATAATAACAATAATAATAATAACAACAATAATAATAATAATATTGTTATTATTATTGTTAATATTATTAATATAATAATAATAATAGTAATCATAATAATCATTATAATATTTCGTTCAAAAACTCATAATATTAATAAAATATAATAATAATAATAATAATAATAATAATAATAATAATAATAATAATAATAATAATAATAATAATAATAATAATAATAATAATAATAATAATAATAATAATAATAATAATAATAATAATAATAATAATAATAATAATAATAATAATAATAATAATAATAATAATAATAATAATAATAATAATAATAATAATAATAATAATAATAATAATAATAATAATAATAATAATAATAATAATAATAATAATAATAATAATAAAAGTGATAAATCATGTTTAAAATTTTCTGATTTGATCTGAATTTTTCTGAACTGATCAGATAAGATCTGATTTTTTCTAATCTTTTCTGATATGAATAAAATTAGAATAAGCAATAAGTAATAAGAATAAAACGAACAGAACAACTTCTTATCCTCTTAGATTTCTGGCTCTGCTATCGACTACGAAATAGACATATTAAATGTGTACATACATTTTTATTAAGAAAATGGTAAAAGGTAAATTGAGATTTTGCACACCATTTTATACACTTTGTATATATTCCTTTTTATTTTGTGGATACTAAAAACATAATATATGGGCGTGAACACCGGTATAGACCAAGAATTACTCATGAAATTTATTTAATTTACTTTCACATTGTAATTAATGAATTTCTTTTTTGTGAGTGTGAAATTTTGGTTTGAACACGATTTTTGTACACTTTTTATGTTCACGTTCATATTTTATTTGTGTGCATAAACAATTCTTCTAAAAAATTGAATTGTCCGTGAACACATGGGCTCTACGTCCCGTGCAAATATTATTTTCCATTAATAGGTATTTAAAAAATAAAATAATTGGTCTGACATAGTGCGTGAAAATGTTGGCTCAGTGAATTTCTAAATTTAACCATAATGTCTTGACTCCAAAAAGTTGGACGCCTCTTTCATGGAGTTGCTGAGTTACTCAATTACTTGAAAAGTTGAAAGTATGAATATGTCATACCAAACAAGTAGTACATATATATGAAAAATATCTATAAATATATCCTTATAGGGTTTAATGCAGAGTATTTATGTGTATCCTTACATGAATCTGTTCTCAATATTAAAAGATATTTATATAAATTACATATGTATATCATATACTTTCATATGTGTGTGTACATTCTACTAATTACTCTTTACTTGTCAACCAATGATAACATTTACATGATCTTGGAATAGTAGTATAATACTTTTAGTCTTTTTCCCTAAGAGAAAAGGGATGAAAATACAATACTTAAACCTTAAGCACAAAATGTTAGTTAATGAGAGTCGCATGTGTTCCTGAAATACTTGGGAACACGCACACTGACATCATGGTGATGTCACATGATATCATCACAGGAAGATTGTTGAATGATGTCATTCATGATGTAAGCCCTTCGGAACTCGAACCTCTAATGTTAATGAGTGCGACCGTAACGTAAGCCCTGAATATGTACATGTCTAGAATACCTAAGATATATCTAAATATGAAATCATAACCTATCCCACTCAACTTCCTTTGGTAGCGTCGGTGCAATACCTTTACCGGCAGTTATAAGGCTTGGCCTCATTTAACTAGCTTGATCCAGAGCAGACCAGAGCAAAATGGATCTGCCACTATAGAATTATGCATATGATGAGATATTGCACTCGGCACAGAGTCTCGGCCGACCAGGTAAATAAGTGAGGCTACTATCTTGGACAGTCTTGTTTGGGCCCCGAAGTATTGGACAATATACTCCATTAGGGATATAATTCCTTAGCCCCACAAAACTTTGTCAAATTTCTTTTACGTAGTCATTCAAAAAAATTGTGATTTTCATTTTAAGCAATGAAAATGTGATTAAGATTATTGCATTATTCTCTACACAATCAGAGAGTAACAATTACATCATTTTTACTCTAATATTCCAGGTGCAAATCCAATTTGATTAAATCCCTCGTCTTTTGCGCTATAAATAGTGGGCTATGTTTGATGTACACAAAAAATATACTTTTCGTACATTGTCTGTGTGCATAGGCAATTGGAAGACAAATGTTATCTTTTTCTTAACCAATTTTCATGTGCACAGGTAAATAAGGGGTGTACACAAAAAGTCTTAACCATTTTTGATAAATAGTACACATCCGTCTCATTCAAAAGAGAACATTGCCATAAACTTTCTCAACCAAGATTCATTTGTATAATCATCATCCTCAGTGGTCAACAAATGGGTAATAATAGTCAGCAACTTCATCTTTTCTTCCTTCCTGGAATGGCTCACGGCCACATGATTCCAACTCTGGACATGGCCAAGCTCTTCGCTTCCCGTGGCATCACCGCAACCATAATCACCACCCCTTTCAACGAACCCGTTTTCTCCTCTGCCGTTCGTAAATACACAGAGCTGGGGCACCAAATCCAGATCCGATTGGTCGAGTTCCCCGGCGTCCAGCTTGGATTACCGGAAAATTGCCAGCGTGTCGACCAGCTCCCCTCCCGCGAATCAATTCCCACTTTCATGAAGGCCTGCTCCCTACTCCAACAACCCTTGGAGGCGCTCCTCGAAGAGCTCCGCCCTGACTGTCTCGTCGCCGATATGTTCTTCCCTTGGGCGACGGCCGCCGCCGCCAAGTTCGGTATTCCGAGGTTGGTCTTCCACGGAACAAATTGTGTTTCCCTGTGTGCCTCGCACAGTCTGGCGACTCACAAGCCTTACAAAAACGTCTCCTGTGATTCTGAACCCTTCACAATTCCAAATCTTCCCCACCAACTGAAGCTCACCAGAGTTCAAGTTCCAGACCACCAACGTGGCGGCGGAGATGAACACCCCATGACGGCTTTCATGAATCAAGTAAGGTATGCGGATGAAATAAGCTACGGCGTGATCTTTAACAGCTTCTATGAGCTGGAACCCGAATTTGCAGAGTACTACAGGAAGGTTCTTGGTAGAAAGTCATGGATGGTGGGCCCGTTTTCCCTTCTAAACAGGGACATGGAGGATAAATCTCTGAGAGGAAAGAAATCCTCAATCGGAGAAACAGAGTGTATGGACTGGCTGGATTCCAAGAAACCCAACTCCGTCGTCTACGTCTGTTTCGGAAGCATTGCGAACTTCGCCGTTTCCCAGCTCAAAGAAATGGCGGCGGGGATAGAAAGCTCCGGGCAGGATTTCATTTGGGTGATCAGAAACAAGAGAGAAGAAGACAACGGAAAAGAGGAGTGGATGCCGGAAGGGTTCGAGAAGAGGACGGAAGGCAGAGGGTTGATCATAAGAGGCTGGGCCCCACAAGTGCTGATTCTTGAAAACCCGGCCGTGGGCGCGTTCGTGACTCACTGCGGCTGGAACTCGACGCTGGAGGGGATCTGCGCCGGGGTGCCGATGGTGACTTGGCCGGTCTTCGCCGAGCAGTTCATCAACGAGAAGCTGGTGACGGATGTTCTGAGGACCGGAGTCGGGGTTGGGTCGAAAGAGTGGAAACCAGTGGACAGTGATGGTGTGAAGAAGGAAGACATTGCAGAGGCCATCAAGAAAGTGATGGTGGGGCCAGAGTCAGGGGAGATGAGGAACAGAGCAGCAGCGTTGAAAAATAGCGCAAGGAAGGCCATCGAGAATGGCGGATCTTCTTTCTCAGATTTGACTTATCTGCTGGATGAACTCAGAACAAACCGTGCAAAACAGTGAGCAGACAATAATGAATTGCAGTTCATTTTCAACTTCAAACAGGGTGGAGACAGGAAGCCCTAGAGGGCTCCACCTCCGGAAAAAAATCTAAATTATACGGAGCATTTATGTGTGAATTTTTTAATAAATAAAAAATATCTCAATGTTTTGAGCTTTGATCCCACAGTAAATTTTTTAAAATCCAGCTACTTAGATTTCTGACTTCGCTATGGACTTCAAACTAGACTTATCTTCAGCCTTAACATTCAAAAAAATTTATGTACTCCCTCCGTCCCATTTTATTTAGCCAAACATTTTTCCCAAGTCAAAATTGTTCAAGTTTGACTAATTATATATGTATACACAGAAATATTGATAATGTGAAACTTATATGAAAATGTTTTTTTGTTAAAAATACTATCATAAAAATATAAATTTATTAAGTTTTACATAAATATATTAGTTAAAATAATGGATTAGAGTTTATTATTTTTGACTGGAAAAGTCAAAGATGGCTAAATAAAAAGGGACGAATGTAGTATATATTACTAAAACTCATGTTAATTCTCATAATATGACTAACCATACTTTTTTACCTTCGTATGACTAGAACGTGCAAATCACTTCCATAATTTTAGGATGAGTTAGTTAGTTGTTAAAATTGAATTAGCCGTGGAATTTAATAAAGATTAAGAAACACTGGAATAACCATGCATCATATTTAGGCAAGAAAATAGCAAAAAAACTCATGGAGTCATATATTGGGAAACATAGCGTCTTTTAGTCATATGAGAGGCAAATATATATTTTAACTGAAGTGTTTGTTTTCACTGTTTCTGTTGATTTATGAAAAAAATATATTTAAAATATATTATGGAGTATTTTAATGAAATAACGAAAAAATATACAATAAATAACAAAAATGATTATCTACAAAAAACTTCAGCCAATATTGTGACACCGCACCCGAGCGTCCTTGAAAATTCAATTTAAGGTTCAAAGTTATGTATTGAATTTTCGGGTTACCAAACAATTGTAGAACAATTTATCTTTTACGTAGGGCATGATTGAATATTGTACTGTTCAAACTCGTATATTAGTGTCAGGTTTTGCAAATACTTATTTGGGTCTTACTTAAATATTGTTACTTAACCTTTCAAGACAATTTGAGGAAGGTCGGCGGGCGACCCAAATATTATTTTGGGCCCAACCTGCTAAAAATAGCAATTATTTGAGAATGGCATCCTAGACCCACTCGGGAGTGACCCACACGGCTAGTAGCCCAATAATATGTATGACAAATGTCAAAATAAGTGATGGAATGATTAGAGAAGAATACAAATACCTATAGCCTCATCTTTGACATTATTGAACTAAATAATGAGAGTGTGATTTTCCTTCTATGATATCCATCAAGTAAATTATTGAGATGAGCCTACACATATTGGAGATCAATAATGTTATGTAGGGAGTTGACTTGTTCTAAATAAATTAGGACGAGTACAAAAAGACATCTTTGACAAAGGATAAAACAATAGGACCCATCTTCCCATTTTTGGAAGTATTGGTAGATATTTTGGACTCCAAATTGATTGGGATCAATTGGGAACCACTCCACATGACTTGAGTACCTGCAAGACAAAGAAAAAATGAGTGAGATGACTATATGGGGCGAGCATGTTGACTTAAGAGCAATACATTACAAAAAAGAAATAAAGGTGAAGGTCCACCTCACATTTGATTGCAAACCAATGTCTCCCATGCTCTCTTGTAAGCCACATGCTTTGGTAACATGATTGAGAGATCTTGTACACTCCCACAACCCTCCATACGAACCCAAAGAAAGATAAGAGAGGAAAAAGGAGCCACACAATCCAAGAGAGGAGGAAAGAAGGTAACTGTCTGCAGGAAAACTTCCAGTGCGTAAGACTGATTGTTTGCTTCATATCTTGAGCTCCAATCGTCCAAATAAGGCGTGTAAGGTGTCTTCTGAAAGCTCTCAAGACGAGTAATCCGTGAAGGTCTGTTTTGCAGCAAACGGAGCAGTTTAATGTTCCCAAATAACCGAAGGCAGAAGCTACCTCGCAGAATACAGTTTTGTATTCAAAGTAAGTTTGAATCCAAAACCTTCCTTTTCATTTTCCAAATGATATGAACGATTGGTGGAACTATTATACACTAATCCAAGTGCATAATGTGTCCTTATAAAGTTATTATTATTTATGTAAAGGTTAGATACTAACCTAGAGCAAATCTCGGAAAACTAGGAAACGAGTTAGCCGGAAAACACCCATTCTAGGGGCTATTTTCGTACCAACGATTAAAGGTTGAACTAGCACTTTGAGGAGGCTGTTTGACACTCATTTCTAAGCAAGTAATCAGTTCTCAAGCTTCCTTGGCCGAGGCTTTGGTCATTGGATCGAGAAGGAAAGTTTTAAAACTCATTTGAGGTGAGGATCGACATCTAGTTGCTTACAACTTGTAGGTTAAGCATGAGATTACCTAAATGCCTAAATCATGTTTTCCATGGATTATGATGATAAATTATCGATGGAATATTGATCTATTTTCCAAAGAATGAAATGGGAAATGATTTGGTAAAGTATTGATAAAAATGGAGTTAAATGAACTATTGTGTGAAATAGGCATTTTGCTCATGTGTGATTTGTGTAGATACATAAATGATTATTTATGTATTACATTGGACGATTAAGTTGCTGCTACATATTCTCTAAATATGTAGGGTTTTACAAATGGGATATATGATGGATAAGGATAAATCTTAATAGCATTGAAATACTAGTTAATGATTGTTGTAATTGTTGAGGAATTGAATCTAAGGATTTGATTGTAATTGATGTACTTGATTGTGATGCAAGTGACTAAATTGATGTAATGTGTGATGCTAAGATCATGGTTGGGCAGTCCGTAAGGATGTCCCAAAATAGATTATTGATATTACAAATTCTAGGCATAGCGAGTGCTTAGGAATTGGGGTCTATGCCAATGTAAGGAGATGTACTTGAGCCCGTGCTCATAGAATTGCATTGGGTAGACATGATGTGGTGATTGATGTGCATGGTGATGTAGTTGAGTTGGACTCAAGAAATGCACGGTGGAGTAATTAACTTGTGTTAAATAAGGTGCATGGTGATGTAGTCGAGTTGGACTCGAGAAATGCAACATATGTGTTAGGGTTGAACCCTATGTATTGTTGTGACTAGGGGTCACGGGGTTTGGGCTATGTTTGGTAACAAACTTTGGGCCTACGGGCCGACTACTTGACTTTATATATAAGTAAGTATATTTTGAAAAGGGGCAACTAGGGGTTACGACCTAGATTATATTATCACCCTATTTAAGGGTCTTGTGTTTGAAATACTTGTTGTATATCTATTAGATGCCATCCACACCAGCACTTTATAGCCCTATAGAGTGCTGACCCCTTCGGGGGCGTCCCACTACCATTCTTCAGGTTGAGGCTAGAGCTGTCTTCCTGTGCTCGTTGCTCGAGAGATCATCTAGGAGGGAAGACTTGGTTCATGCTTCCTCCATTCTGTTTTTAAACATTAATAAACATGCTCATGAATATTTTACTATAAAGCCTGCGTGCTCATGTTTGCCACGTGTGACATTTGTTTTCAAACTATGTTTTCCGCTACGTATTCGATTGCTTATTATGCTGTTTATAGATGGCTTACGTGTGAATGATATTCGAGACGCCTTGTATAATATGGATGTGCTTGACTGTGGTTGACTATTCGTATTGTACGGCGGGTTGTTGACGTGTCCGGACAGGTCTGGGGCGTGACAAATATAGTCACAAAAGTAACTTAATCTTACTTTTTTTTATTATTAAACTCGTACAATTTAACGCGCGAAATCAATAGTTACATTTTTTATTAAAAATTTGGTCGATAAGTTCGACTGGCCAAAAAATAGTCACAAAAACAGACTCTCAATATATTAAGGAAATACGAGAGGAAAATTGCAATTTTACGCCCCATTTTATACGGATTTGGATCCTCTGTCGTGCGGCAGAGGTGCCTTGCGGCATCCAACGGCAGGGACGATAGGGGAGGAGAGGTGGTGGGACTACTTTGGTTGAATCGCGTGGCAATAAAAGCCACGCACCCTACCTTGCTGCTATAGCAAGGTAGAGAATCCAGATCCATTTTATACACACTGCCTTTTTATATTTCAACCCTACTATAGGTACCCCAATTGGTACCCCAATTTGTACCACAACCTGTTGAGGAAAAATATTAATTGTGATCAAGCTTGTCTGATGTCTTGTTTATTTATCTAGAATAGATTAACGTTTTAATGTATTTATGATGTAATATATCCAACTGAGGATTTAAGGCCCAAAAAGGCCTAGGCCCAGAGTTCTAGGTTACCATTCTCGGTACCTGTACCTGCGCCTATAAATACGCGTACTTGTGGTACAGGACTAAGAAGAATCAGCAATACAGTACTATTTTATTCTCTAAAAGGTTTTCATACTTCTCGATAGTATAGCGTAAGGCTCTATTGCTCTTAGATTGATCATATCATTATCTAGACCTTACCTATATTGTTATAGATTGTATTTTGCTGTTCAATACATCCTTATTTTGGACCAACAATTGGTATCAGAGCCGATCGAGTACTGATCTGCATCGAAGAAAAACTGCGAAGAATGCTCTGTTTTATGTTTTCGATATTTTATTGAATCTGTCTTTGTAAATATGTTTTTGGACAATTCTGTGTAAAAGTTATACTGTTGGATTCGTCTTTCAAAAACGAACCAGCAGTATATCTTCATTTTCGATATCTGTAAAGTTTGAGATTTGAAGTTTTCGATATAGGCATATCGAAAAACAGGTTCTCGGTACTTCAGCAGGTTTTTCGAAGATTGATTCATCCAGGAAGCTTCTCGACATCGAAAACAATTCAGCAGCAATCTTCGTTTTCAAAATTTTGAAAATTTTTAAGTACAGGATTTCGACAGAATGATCTCGATACTGAGTTCTCGAACTTAGTTTTCGATACTAGCTTCTCGCACTAGTACTTTTCGATATTTATACTTTGAATATCTGATTTTGATATTACAGGTTCTCGACTTCAGTTCTCGATAATCAGTATATCGAAAAGTTTAGTTCTCGAAATTGAACTTCTCGATATCTGACTTCTCGATATCTCAGTTTTCGAACCTAGAATATCGAAAACCAAGTTTTTGAAGTCCTAATATCGAAAACTTACTTCTCGATAAACTTTCTCGAATTCCCTGTTCTCGAATATCTTTCTCGAGGTTAAACTTCTCGATATTCCATACTTAGAAATAATTATTTTCTAAAACAGATCAATCACTCGAACGGTCACTTTCTCAAGAACAGCAGATATGGACGCTCTTTCAATGGGTAACGATAGCAGACCCCCTATCCTCAGGAGAGATGAGTACGTTATGTGGAAGAACAGATTTCTCAACTTCCTCGAGAGCAAAGACAATTCCTCAGCTATGCTGGAATCACTGACAGAGGGTCCAGCTCAATTATGGATGGTTCTAGGAGGAGACGATGAAAATGAGCCCCCTGTCGACCAAGTGAAAGTTCCAAAACCAGTAGAGCTGTATACTGAAGAGGACAGATTGAGAGTCAAAGCTGATTTAATGGCAAAAACGTACCTACTCCAAGCAATTCCGAATGATATTTATATACTGATTGACAGTATGGATTCTGCTAAGGAGATGTGGGATGAAATCAGAAAGCTGATGGAAGGAACCAACCTAGGTTTGAAAACCAAGAAGGCAAGCACTCTCACTGCCTATGATTCCTTCAAGGCTAGACCCGGTGAACCTCTGCATGAGACTTACAACAGATTTGTTAAGCTGGTAAATGATCTGAGAAAGATCAATGTGAACAAAGCTAACATGGAGCTGAACATACGGTTTCTATCAAGTCTGAACCCTGAATGGAAGAGGACAGTGAAGAATGTGAGACAGAATCTGGATCTTGATGAAGTTGATCTCTACACAATTCATGACCATCTACAGCAATTTGTGAATGACACTGCAGAGCCTGAAGAAAACAGAATTAATGATCCACTTGCTCTTGTGCTGGAAACTCAAACGAGAAGTACAGCTAAGATGCAAAGGAAGAAGAAAGCTGCAGTCGTGTCTGAAGATGAAGAAAGCGATGAAGAAGTAGACGTGGAATCGGAGCTGGTAGAGCTGCAGAAGAAAATGGCGCTCTTAACCAAGCAATTTAATAAGAAGTTTGTGAAGAAGAGTACTTCATCCAACAAGCTGAGAACTTCCTCATCCAACTACAAGCCGAAACAGCTTGAGCAAAATTCCTCAGAAAGAGTTGTTGCAGCAGAAGAAGCTCCCAAGTGCTTTAATTGCGGAAAGGCTGGACATCTGATCAAAGATTGTCGCCTACCAAGAAGGAGGGACTTCAATTATTACAAGCAGAAGATGCTCATGAACAAGCAGAAGATGTTCATGGCAAAGCAAGAAGATGAAAATGCTGCAATGCTCGCTGAGAAGGACCATTGGATGAAGGATGATTCTTCAGATGAGGAAGAAGAAAACTTAGCTTTGATGGCAATCGTGGAAAAGGATGAAAGAAAGGGTGATGCTGCGATCCCCAGAGATGATGAAGGTGAAAGCTCAAATAGCAATGTAAGTCCTTCTAAAAACTCATGTTCTTGCAAATGCAAAAATCATTCTTTAATAGAAAAGGACAAGATTATTAAGGAGCTTGAGACGAGACTTGATAACAATCACAAAGTTTTACTTAAGAACTTGCATAAAAATGCCTGTCTTACTTTGAAACTTGATGAGTCAACGAAAAAGGTAGAAAAATTGACCTTAGAAAAGGATAAGTTGGCACTTAGGACAACTGAATTGACTAGTGAACTGCGTAACACCAAGACAGAGCTTAATCAAACAATTGAACTAAAAAGAGTCTTACATGAGCAAAGAAGTGCGCTTTATAGGAAAATCAAAGAGCTTGAGGATTTGTTAGCTAAGCGTGATCAAACTGAACAAACAATTTTCTTGAATCAACCCAAGGATACCCGTTTCTATAATTCCAAAGAAGGTCTTGGTCTATCGAATCCCTGTAACCTGAAAAAGGTCAAATGTAAACAACTATATGATGTTAATTACATGGGATTCGGTCTAACCAAACTTATGCACTTTACGGCTGCAAAAGAAACGGAGGAACTTGAGGCTGAGAAAAGAACAAACACAACAAAAGCTCAAATCTCTTTTGATTATTCTGCTTTGAACAAAAGTTATACTACAGCTGAACCTGTCTTTTCTTCTGATGAATGCGTGAGTCTTTATCCTTCTGAAAAGGAAGCTATGTCTGATTTGGAACCTCCCTCAAACTCACATTCCGAGGTTGATGAACCATACATTCCTCCTCTCATTAAGAAATTTGAAAATCTACACATTTCTCTTGAAAATCAAAGAAAGAGTTTTGAAGAAGAAAGGAAGAGTTTTGAGAGTGAGCGGGAAAAATTATTGAGTGAACTTACTCTTTTGAAAGAACAGTCTCAATCAAACACAGCCTCCCAATCTACAAGCAGTACAGACTCAACCATTAATCATAACCACAAAATTCCCAACATTTTTGAAAATCCATCTGCTCACTCCAAGTCTCCTTCGGTTACAGGAACCAAAGTGAGTCGGAGATGGGAGAAGAAAGAGGAGTGGAGGAAGAAACGAAGAGAGGTTGCTGAAGGAAAGAAGAAAATATTTTTGGGAAATAAGAAGTCCTGTTCTAGCACAATGTTTTATTCTAAAAATAATTGTAACTCTTGCTCTGTTAAGCATGTTTGTACTCATAATTCAGTTTTGAGTCCCAAGCTGAATGTTTTTAAGATTAATGACAAACCTTGTTCATCATCTGATTATGTCAATGATTGTACTGGCAGTTTTACAAGTTCTGATTTTGATAGTGATGTGAATAATGTGAAATGGAGAAGGAAGAGTGAACATAAGACTGAAAGGAAATCTGAGAATGAATTTGTTGAGGGTTATTATGACTTTTTGCATTTAAAATACCCCCTCCGAATTCATTCAAAGAAACATCTGAAAAGACTCTCCAAAGAAGAAATTTTTAAGCCATATCTTAACCAACATCCATTCACTCACTATGATCATGTCTCATCTCCTCCTTCAATTAAGCAGAAATGGTTACCCAAATCTGAATCTGAAAAAGAAAAAGCTCAAACCTTGACTGAGAAAGCTGTTGACCTTGGATCACAGCTCAAAGAAAAATTTAAAAAGATGTTTTTGATTAATAAGGAAGGACCCATCCTACGGTGGGTACCTAAGAAAACTTAATTGTTTTGCAGAATGGTCATGTGTGGCACTTGGATTCTGGCTGCTCAACCCACATGACCGGAATAAAACACCTGCTGAGCAACTACACTTCATGCTACGGAGGAAATGTGAGATTCGGCAACAATGCATCGTCTCCTATTCTTGGATACGGAGATGTCATCTGTCCGAGTGTCACCATAAGGGCTGTCTCCTACGTGAAAGGACTGAAGCACAATTTGTTAAGCATTGGACAGTTTTGTGATAGCGGGATGGAAGTGAAGTTCAAATCTAGACAATGCTGTGTGATAGACAGCTATGGAAACACATTATTAACGTGTAACAGGACATCAAACCTGTACACTATTGATCTAAAAAGTGTTCAATCAACTTCTTCCATCTGCCTGTTGTCCAAAGCTTCCTCTGAGCAAAACAGCCTATGGCACAGACGCCTATCTCATCTGAACTTCAAACAACTGATCTTTCTGTCCAAGAAGAAACTTGTGAAAGGGCTGCCTACTCTGAAGACTTCCGCTGACAACCACTGTGGTGCCTGCAAATTAGGCAAAATGGCAAGGAGCTCTCACAAGTCAAAACAAATCCCATCCTCCTCTCAAGCATTACAACTGATACACATGGATCTGTGTGGACCAATGAGAGTACAAAGTATCAATGGACGGAAATACACTTTAGTCATTGTGGATGATTACTCTCGATACACATGGACCAAATTCTTGAGGACAAAAGATGAAGCAACAAAAACCATCATAACCTTCATCAGGACAATTCAAAATTTCCTTCAGAAGAGTGTTCAAGTGGTGAGAACAGATAATGGAACCGAGTTCAAAAATCAGTGCCTTACTGATTTCTTTGAATCTCAGGGTATTACTCAACAGTTCTCTGCGGCAAAAACTCCTCAACAGAACGGAGTAGTTGAAAGAAAGAACAGAACTCTTGTTGAAGCAGCACGCACTATGCTCATACAATCCAAACTTCCTCACTTCATGTGGGCAGAAGCCATCAACACTGCGTGCTTCACTCAAAATCGAACCACTATTCACAGGCGCTTCAACAAGACCCCCTATGAAATTCTTTTCAACAGAACTCCTGACATATCATTTTTCAGAGTTTTTGGCTGCAAGTGTTTTGTTCTGAATGATAGAAGTGAAAGAAGCAAGCTCGATCCAAAGGCCAAAGAAGGTGTGTTTATTGGCTACTCAACGCAATCCAAAGCTTATAGAATCTACTTGAGGGATCGACGAACTGTCATAGAGAGTGTACATGTTGCATTTTATGAAATGGCAGATTTTGCATCTGAACACTTCTTGACAGAACCCACTCTTTCTGAACATCAAAATTCTGATGGAGCTGAAGCAACTGAGCGAACATCTACTGAACGTGCGATTCTTGATTCTCTCTTTGAACACTTCTATGAGAATCCACGTAACACAAATCCACAGCAAAGGACTGCACCAACAACAGAACCTACAGCAAAGATGCCACTTTTGCTTGATCTTACTGAAAATGAAGAAGATGCTTTCTCTCAATCCGATCATGAAGATCCAGAAGATCATCACACAGAAGCAACACAAGCAACAGCATCAACACAAATCTCACCAGAAACACAAACAACAACTCCTGCTGAATCAGTGCACTCTACACCTCAACAAACATCATCTAATATCTTTGAGGACCCGGATCACCCCATCATAACTCCAATCCCTCTAACACATGAGCGGAAGTGGACGAAGGCACATCCTGTTGAACAAATTTTTGGAGATCCAAGTCGTGGAGTATGCACCAGAACTGCAACAGCCAATGAATGTCTCTTCTCCTGCTTTATCAGTCAGTCTGAACCAACGAAAGTTGCTGACGCATTAACTGATCCTGATTGGGTGATTGCTATGCAAGATGAGCTCAATCAATTCAACAGAATGAACGTATGGACACTTTTGCCTAAACCACAGAAGAAAACCATTATTGGCACAAAGTGGGTATTCAAAAACAAGCGAGATGAAGATGGAATCATTGTGAGGAACAAGGCAAGGTTGGTTGCCAAGGGATACAATCAACAAGAGGGCATAGACTACGTTACGATGAGACTTTTGCACCCGTAGCAAGAATTGAAGCTATCCGCCTCTTTCTTGCTTACGCAGCACACAAGAACTTCACAGTCTACCAAATGGATGTGAAGACGGCTTTTCTGAATGGTATTCTTGCTGAAGAAGTCTATGTCGCTCAGCCTGAAGGATTTATAGATCCAAGATTTCCTGATCATGTGTATAAACTGAATAAAGCACTGTATGGATTGAAGCAAGCACCGAGAGCCTGGTATGATGCCTTGACAGATTTCTTAACAGAATCAGGCTTCTCAAAAGGAAGGATTGATACAACACTGTTCATCAAGCGTCAAGAGAATGATATTCTTTTGATTCAAATCTACATTGATGATATCATCTTTGCCTC